TAGTCAGTCTTCACTTGGATCTCATTTGCAGTCAGTTTAATATTCATATTATTATTATTGTTGTTGTTCAATTTATAGAGGTTCAAAAGAATTGTTAGAAAATCTGCATTTATTTTATTAAATAGGGCAAAAAATATTTTTGAAGCTAAAATGTTATCAACAACCTGTGTGAAAATGGATCATTTTATAACAGTTTTTATTGCTATACAAGAATACTTGGGAAAATATTTTTTTAGAAAAAGAAAATTCAGGATTAAAAGTATCTTTAAATATATTTTTGGCATGACAATGGCACTGATGCAAACTAAATTTTGTATTATGGGACAGGACATGAGCCAAGCAATAAGCCCTTCTGGCACAAAATAAACAAATATTCAGCCAAGTTTGCAAAATATTTACTGTATCTGCAACAGAGCAGGAAGTTTCGTTGYTCTTGCTTTTAGCTGATGTGCTTGTCACAGACTTGCAAACTAGCAATTACACAGAATATTGTGAGGTTCTGCCACAGATTATCAACAGTTATTCTTTCCTGCCCTTTTTGCTGCAGGATGTTTTGTTAGAAATCAAAATACATTTTTAGAGTGGTTTAGGTGCATTACTCACTCATCTGTGAATCAAGATTCCCAAAAATAAATAAATAAAAATTAAGACATTTTCATCCAATCGCAGCTGCTTACTTTGTTCAGACGTACGGCAGAGATGAGTAAAAAGAACAACACATCTCTTAAGCTTTTATTTCCTTTCATTTCATAAGAGCACTGATCCATCACAAGGTGTTATGGTGTGACTCAGCCATGCCATTGCATGCTGAAGAATTCTTTAAAAAAAACACCAAGAAACAGACAAACACAGTCACACGGGGGAAAAGTGAAATACCAAAAGGTCAGCAGAGAGACGGGTGTCATTAAAACACAGGCCGGGTCTGAGCGCWCTGTCCCTCTGTGTTTGTCTGTGCGAAATTAAAGACACAACTGCACGTCGTAAACAAGCCACGCTGTTTATGTTTGATCATGCATATTTTATTTGCCAGATGTGTCTTGCAATTCCTGCTGCTTCACAAAATTATGATTTGCAGAGATTAAATGGGAAAATCCTTAAGCCTCTTAGTGGGAGTGTRTTTTATGACTCCAAATTATTTGAGGAATATTTTATTTCAAATTAATTATGCAAGAGATGAACAGACTGCAACATTTTTTTTTATTTTAAGTATTCACAACTTTTATATGTGTTGAACATGAATAAAATGTGCAAATAAATCATTCTACTTCATATTTACAAGTTTATCACACATCACTTGCACATTTGATGCCATGTCATAAAGCACATTCAAGTCTTTTTTTTTGTACTTGTCCTCCATGTTTGCCTTTAGACAGAGTGAAAAATATRTATAGCATGTCAGAATACACAACAGTGCCACACAATGGTCATGAGAGGAAAAGCAGAGAGGCTTCAGATTAATTAAAAAAGATGTCACAGATTTTTGATACTTGGTTTTTATTTGCAACTCAACTGTCAGTTTTGATGACAGCTCAGTATGTGTTTTCTAAATGCAAGGATGCACATATGGACTGCTTGTATATATGTTGTTATTCATTTATCATGCAAAGTGCTTCAGGAAGGAGCTAAATAATAAATAAGTATGCTAATATTCAAATGATTCCTTAAGCAAACAGTGCATGAATCAGTTGGTCTGCCAGAGATATTTGCTGAAGATTCACTACAAATGTCTGATATGAGGTCAATRATAATTGTGTAGTTTGGTGATTGAATAAAATTCTGGAATTTTAGAATGTCGGTCAGTTGATGAAAGAGTTTTGTTGGTTTCTTGGTGATGATGATGATGTCTGGGTGGTTGTTGTGCCTTGAGCTATAAGGAGAAATTAAAGGTACTGAGGACTGAAAAAGAGGCAATTATTGAGGATGAATGAGCGACATGATGCTGGAGGGGAGCTGCTCTGCTTACTTCAGGTTAAAAGGAAAAGATCCCATGGATTACTTAAATATGATTAATAAAAAACACACACACAAACTTGTTTATACATCCTTGTGGGGCCCGTCCATTGACTTCCATTCATCTTTTGGTAATTTGAAAGCCTAACCCTGACCATTTACCCTAAGACTAACCTCACAGATACTGTACCTACCTGACCCTAAAACTAACCTAAACTCAATTCACGCCTTGGTCCTAAACCTAACACCCCCAACCAAAATCAGCTTCCAAAGTTGTGGGGACCAGGCTTTGGTCCCAACAAGGAGCATGCGGTCGCCACAAGGCTGCATTTTCCTGAGAATTTGTCCCCACCAAGTAGCGAGAACAAGGCCACACACACACACACACACACACACACACACACACACACACACACACACACACACACANGTGTGTGTGTGTGTGTGTGTGTGTGACAGCAGCTGAAAATCATTATGCCCACGTCTTGTGTGTCCTTCTTTATTTTGATGCTGCTAAAAATTGTGAAAACTAGATTACAAAGCGCGTGGACAGAAGGGTGAGACGTGTCCGAATAAGTGATTGCTTTTCTTTCCGTCTGACCAGGTGCCATGTGTGATTGGCCGGCTCGCCCCRTGGCAGTGGCATCGCCCTGGATTTGGCCAGYAGCTCTYCCTCCCGCTTCTTCTCTGGAGCTCTGCTGGGAAGCTTTCCTGGGATTTATCTTGTGCTGCTGGATGGCACGGAGCGCTCTGCCTCTCTGAAGACAGTCCGTGGAGAAAACACAAACACTACATGGATAAGAAGTAAAATAATTATCCAATCACAGCACAAGCAGACAGACTGGGTTCCCTTAGCAACAACTGAAGGAGACAAGAGAATTCTCTTCTTTTTTTTTCCCTTTCTGCTCCCCTGGTTTTTTGGGCACACCCCCGTGGACTGCTGTGGGTCAGTGTTTTCTTTTTTTAATCTTTTGTGAGAAGACTTGGAGGGCGATGTTGGGTAAGACAAGCTGCCACCCAAATTTCAGGGGACGATGCTCAWTTGGGTCTCACTGGCACAATCATTTTTTGTAATCCCTCCACAAATTGTCACCACAAGTCACATTCTGCCAGCTTGGAACTCAACTCATCCTAATCCCACATCACCTGGAATGAGCTCTGCATTTTGGGGAGATATTGGATGTCACGTTATTTAGAAAAGAAAAAAAAAAGAATAAAGAAAACCCACTTCTAACCTCTTCATATTTTCATTGAGGGAAAAATGAAAAGCAACACAGTTAGGTTATTATTTGGAAAAGAAGGAAACTGGATCWGAGGYGAAGTTTCTTTCAAAGAAAATTTTTATTGAGAATCTTATTTTCTTTTCAGGGGAAGGAAACACGACACTGTATAGAGGAATATTCCTGTTTTCAGCCTCTCTCTCTCTTTACAGACTGTAGCCCTCAGTGAGGAACTATATTAAGAAAGCAAATCTTGTCCCCGCTGGCCACCAGGAAGAAAGAAAAAAGATCATTTTGAACACTGAGAGAGTGGGAGTTGTTTTGTTTTTATTTCTGTTTGTTTCTTCGGCTAACATCACATGTAAGCCACTGCAGGAAAGGGTTATATCCTTGTTGCTTTTATTTCTGCATGTTAATTCGCAATGAGGCCACTGTGTTTTACCGGTGGAGACGATAGAACAGAAAGAGTGGTAAAAAGGTAAACTGTTTTCTCTTTAAAAGGCACGCGTTTTTTTTRAATAGCCCCCTTTTTTGGGAGCAACTTCAGCTTATACACACTGACACATGAGATGAGTTGGCTCAACACAATTATGTAAGAGTTTTAGCCCGTGTGTTTCCTCACGTCCTGTTCCATGGATTTACCGCATTGGACTTTACCCGTGCTGATCTTCTCTCCATTTTTGGAAGCGTCGACCAGAAGGCATGGATGTCAACGTGTGACCCCATGCCAAGTGCGCGGGCGAGGCAAGGCGCTTTGGCTGCCCAGGTGCTTTTAAGATGTTGAGGTCTCCCTGCGTGGCCGGGGCCCCTGTTCGGATCAGTAGCACTGAGGCTCCTTGTAGCCAAAGACATGGACCCCGACTCGGCTCCCCCACGCCCTCAGCCTGTTGGCCACTGGCCCCACGCCGCTTTGTAAAGGATGTCCCTCAGCAGAGCTCCGGCCCGGGACACCTCTGAGACCCCCAGCCCGAGAGAACGCATCCGCAGCCACATGAAGATGGTGATCGATCAGCTGGAAGGCATTCTGACGGAGCTCAAGGATGTGGCCAAGGAACTTCGGGAGGTGAGGCTCAAAACCAGCTTTAACTTATCTTTTTTTTTTCCTGTTTTTGCTGGAGATTTAGAGATGAACGGAGTAAAGAAAAAAATGAGGGTTCCAGGTGGGTGTGCTCCCAGAATGGATTGCATTTAATTAGGGGTAAAAAAAATCTTCCGCGACATGCAGATTTTGATTAAGATTTGAACACGATGAGGTCTTACTGTTTTTGATTTCTCGTTGGAGAAGAGTCATCTTCCTTTTACAGTCAAACTACAGTGGCTTATCTGCAGTTACACGTGTCTTTTATGTGTTCAGTGGTGACGTGTGAAAATCAGAATATGTGAAGAGCTGCTGAAAGCACACACACACACACACAAAGTCAGGCTGAGAAAAAATAAGGACACAGGCTTAGATAAGATACAGGACTTTGCGCCGCAATAGTTACATAACCATTTTTTGTTAAGGATCATCTGGATTCTTAAAGTATTTTTGCCATGGTAACACTGGAATCTTTACGTGTGCTTATGGTTGCGCATGCTTTTCCAGTAAAAACATTATAAATAAACACAGATAGCAGCAAGACATTATAGCTCTATGTGGTCGTGTAAGTATATKTAGCTACTGTACATGGGACTTGTCTGATAATCAGAGGAGATCTGAGCATGTGTGCGAGAGTACAAAATCTCTTTGGGATCTTCACCCTGCAGTGTTCTCAAAGCAGTGAGCTCTCCTGGAAAAGCTCCTCCCCAGCAAGAGATGGAGCCAGATAGGGAGAGACAAAGAGAAATGAAACCTGAGCAAACAGTTGCACCTGACCTATCCAACATCCTCCGAGCGCATCACACGATTAGCCTCCCAACTGATTCTGATTAGGCATAAACAGGGAGGGCACCTTTGTGCGTGCGTGTTTGTCGAGAAAGTGCGATGAAGAAGTGGAACAGAGGATGTTGGTGAATRTAATGACCTGAGAGGAGGAAGGAGGGGGTTTCTGAAAGCTGTCATAACTCACTCCATCACCACACAAGAACCCCGCCCACACCTCCTCTGTCACTCTGACTCCCAGCTCTGTCCCACTCACTAACGCTCTGCTCCAACAGTCGGAGGTGCAAGGGCATGGCTCGCTGTGCACCTTCCCGCTGGTGAGCAAGAGGAGCCAGCCCACGTGCGGGAGTGATTGATGATTATGGGACAACCGCAAGTGGAATAATGCTGGCTGGAGCTATTTATAAACAAAAACACAGCCTGTGCCTCTGCCAGCTCCAACACATATTGCCATTCTTATCCCAGACCCCATTAAAGAAGGCTGCGCGAGGAGGCTCAAATGTCATTTTTTTTATTGGAAGAGCACAGTCTCCCATATTAAAATGGCTATGGAATCTTTTTAGCCACAGTTGCAGTTATAATACCAGTATCAATATCCTGTAATTAACTGACCTGGGAGATTCCCAACTGTCTCAAAGGAAGAACAAGGAACATGATGAGCGTTGCACTATCAGACACACACGCGGAAAGCTTATGTTTTATAAAATCTCTCATTCTTGGCCACATGAAAGGAACACAATAATAGGTAACAACTGTCACATAAATAAATGATCAATAACTATGTGGATGCGAAAACATAGCTCAGTGATGGAGCAGTAATGACTGATTATCACCCACAAGGTCTTTGGGGAGCTGGAGAGACTCCGCAGTGCTCCGAGGAGTTAGAGCCAACAAACACTCCAAAGTGTCTGCAAGTTAAGAACGGCGTTACTAAATTAGCTTCGTGCTGCTGCTTTTATAGATATGTATTGTTAACCTGCCAAGAGCTGAATCTTAAAAAGTTAGTAAAACGCCAAGATATAACTTTTTATGTGTCACACTGCAAAGGAGTCTGCCTACAGTCAGTGCTCTGGTGCCGTCTATTTTATTTAAAGTTCTTTATTTATTTATTTATTTATTTATTTATTTATGACAAGTTGGATTAGCTGTGGTGTCTATCTTGCATTCAGTTTACTTCAACTGTTAATCAATTGAAGCTCCATCTGTTAAGATTACTTTGTTAGAGTTTCAATGAAATCTGTCAATCACTTTTTTTATAATAATGATATGAACATTACTAAATTGTTTTTTATGCACTCACATACAATGTGTATTTGTGGGTCATTATATGCATGATCCAACGTGCATTCTGAATGCTTTTGCATGARCCTGTTTTCAACTGAGAAAAGAAAATGCATGCTATAAACCTTCTCTTCATAAACAACATGGAATCCATGACAGAAATATGTGGTGCAACCAACGTTTTGCTGCTCAGTAAAGATTTGCAGTAAAACTCACGAGTCACGATGACCTTAGCATTAAAATGACGTAATTTACGGTGGAAATAATCCAGTCACTGGTGAGAAAGCCATCACTACCCTGGAGATATCAGTGGCAAACAACTGGGCCTTTTCTGCAGACAGGTTAGCCATTTACTGTGTAATGTGAACTGAAAAAAAATCTACTCTTTTTTTCTTTTCTATCTCTCTTTCAAGCAGGATGGAACATGTTATGTGTGCAAAGAACAGCAACTTTCAGCAGTAGGTTATGAAGGAAATACTCCAAAGGATGTTTCCTAAAGTTATCGTTTTGTCAGAAAYATTTTGTCTGCAGAACGCTGCACAGACCACGTGTAAGTTCAGAGGACATACTTTAGTACCTTAACCCCACAGGCAGCTACGTGTTCTTCAAAACCTAACATGCTGTTTAAAATTTGATGCAATCCTATGACACGATGTTATAGTTCTATACGAYGAGATAGCATTGTGAAGTAAATGCTTTTAAAGCAAAACCTGATCATTTATTAATCAAAGAAAAGATGTGAAAAGGAATGCATTATAGTGGGGAAAAATATATTCTTGCAATTAGCCTTACAGYATCAGCGTAACGTCTGTGATCCTGGTGGTTTCAAAACCACAGAGGACACCAGAACAAATTTATGTGCATGAAAGACCCTCCAAACCTGAAACATGTTTTCACTTTTTTTGTTACAATTATGCAAAAAAATGCACAGAGCCTCCAGTTGTTTACAGCAGTTTCATGCCAACACTTTCTTGAAGCTAGTGAGCATTGCTTAAACAATTTCATTTGAAATTAGTTTTGGAAAATTTATTTTACAAAAAAGTGTTTATTTGAAGGTTATCATCACGTGCATTTAAAAGTTAAAAAAGGAGTGTAAAATAATTGGGAGGACCAATGAGGAAAATGTCATGCTGCTTCCCTCCTTGTCAGTTAGATGAGGTCATCAGACACCAACCTGCTTTGTGTATTAATGATGTAATAGTTAGACATTTGTGGACACGCAGTTGCCCCCCACCAGAGGTTGCTTGGCGGCCAGCAGAGGAAGACTTCAAGTTGATTTAAGAGAGATAACACCCTCAACAGAAACACTGACAAAGGCTAGATAGGCAGAGCGAGAGGAGATGGATAGGAAGTGTCGACAGCAGCCGAGAGGAGAGAACAGGAGAGGAGGAGCGGTGTGATTCGCTGCGCCTTTAAAGCAGCAAGCCCCGCCCCCGCAGCGCCGAGCGCAGGAGCCGAGTGGCGCTGGCAGGAGCCTGAGCTCCACGATAAACTCTGGCATCAGCTTCTCTTCATCCGGCAGTCAGTGAGGACACAGGGGGGGCGCCGGGCCAGAGAGAGGGAGAGAGAGAGGGAGGGAGAGAGAGAGAGAGAGAGAGAGNTATATATATATAGGTTGTTTGGTTCAACATTTAACTCCAGGGGTCTCCTGGGATCTAGATCCTGCTGTTTAACATTTGCTAGATCCCTTTTATTCTCAAAACACACTTAAAGCACATGAATTTTTGAAAACATTTATTTTCTGTCACACTGTAGTTTAATTACGCGAATTTCATGAATGCAGGTAACTCTGATGAATTTAAAGTTTTCAGTTTGTTAATAAATTTTAGAAAAAAAAATAACCCATATTAAAATTAGCCACAGCTGTGTCTTTAGACAAGCTGTTTCCACCGATCTAACCCTGAAGTGGTTGTCTTTCCTAATGAAGGCAGCAAGGTCTTAAAAAGAGGTCCTTTTTGGGTCTTGCTTGCTTGTTTGCCAGACTTCATCATTGTCATTGCTAAACATCCCTTCTCAGAAAGAGTGCTCCCAACTCACACCTAAAATACTTGGCAAAAACAGCATCATCCTTTTAAACAGGGAGTTTGAGTCTCTATGACAACACTCAGCAAGGTCTGAGTGAACCCTGTGGTGAACCTACCATTTAACTATAATCACCGTCACAGTAAGTAAATGAAATGCAACAGACTGGGTGTCTACCACGGGGCATTAAGAAATTTATTTTTTATTTTTTCCCTCAGCAAACAGTTTTAGTAACAAAGCCAGCTTTTTTGTTTAAATTTGAGAAAAGAACAGCAACCATTGTCAAATTAAAATGCTAATTTCTTTTTGCCGGTGTAACTTTTATAATCTTTACTTTAAATCGTATCATCACAGCATGCAACAGCTTTAGTTCACACATACATCTTACATTTTAGTCAACAAACATTATTGAAATTCTGTACTATGTCTAAAGACAAAACCAGAGGATTGAAGTGATTATTTAAATGTAACCGCGGATAATCTCATCATTCCAGTGGTTTTAAGCAATAAAACTATTTTATTTTATTTTATTTACATGATAAGGAGAAATGTTTCACAGAGCTTGGCTAGTTTATTCCTTTCAAGATCCCATTACTGTCAACTGAAGCCTGTCTTACTTTTGAATCCCATTACAAGCTTCGTGACAGGCAAAATGAGATGGTCTTAAAGGAAGGACACTGAAAGGTAATATACTGATAAACTGCTCCATTTGTAATAATGCACAGCCAGGAGTGGCATCTGCAGAGGAAATAATTCATTTAGTTATCATGTCAACCTTGGACTTACTTTCTAGAAGCGTAGGGATGAACTGGAAGAAATATACAGGCAAACGAAATGCAAAGGAACATCTAAACGTCAGTGTAAAGACAAACCATAAACGTAGGAATTAACCTACAAGT